ATTAATATAAAAAATTATAAAAATTGAGATTTAAATAGATTATTTTAATTAATTAATTTAAAGTCAATCTTTATAATTTTTTATATAAATTAATTAAAAAATTACATGTATATATACATTTTACTTAGAAGGATAAAAATATGATAAATACATTTTAACACCCACCATACTCAAACACTCGAATGTGCGTTTCCACCACAATGGGTGAGGTGACAAACCAATAGAACCACTGCACTTGTTATGTTAAATCACTACATAACATTATATTTATTCATATTAATTAAACCAATAGTTTGAACGATTTAATCGATTAAACCAATCAAACCGAAAACCAAAGATCAAAACGGTTTGACCTTCAAGTCAGTTTTCAAAACACTGCCTCATATAGTGATCGAGAAAATTTTGTGTTTGATGCAGCTACCGAGGAGGTCTTTCTTGACCCAAAAGCAGCAGCTATCCTAAACACTCAAAGATGTGTAAGAAGCTCTTTTTAGCTTCTTTCCTTTGAAATCCAAGAAGCACCGAAATTGGGGCTTTTATGGACTGCTTCCTAGCTTGTTTAATGAAAATTAACTGAAGTCCCTATTTTACCCTCACACTTTAACATATTTATAGATGAACTATATATATATAAATCTTTATGACATGCATTCCTCCATGTGGCTGTAGTGGCGGCCATGTTTCTCAAAAGTAAGAAGCAGATGGAACACACTCCAGGTCCACAGGTCAAGTCTTAGACTTGACTTTTCTCGAATAGATACTAACCTAACATTGTAATTCCTCCTATCAAAAAAAAAAAAAAAAACTTTATGACAGCCTCAGCGCAAAAGTCCTTAATTTTTCATCTTTGATCTATTGCTCATCAGGAATCCATTTCTTCTAATGCCTCTTTTGAATGGAAATAGAGGAGAAGTAGGGATTGGTGTTGTGTGTAGGGACAATAGAAGCAGCTGTTTTCAATTGTTATTTATATAAATTGTTAAATTTTTATATAAAAATTTTTGTTTAAAAAGTTAAAAGTCAAACTACAATTAGTATTATTTTTTTATGTTGGTTGCACAACAGGATCGAGGCAACTCTTTTTCATCTCTTATTCCACCTCATTCGCACGCCATGCGAATCTAACTTAGGGCCTCTTACTTCTAACAGAAGGAGATTATTACTGAGCTACAATTATTAAATTTACTGAAAGAGTAAAAAGTATATTGTGCAATTTAAATTGCATTAAGTTGTACTAAGTTACACAATATAAATTATTAAATAAGTGATAGACATTTAATATTGGGAACTATATCTATCTAATAATTAATATTTTAAAACAAATTTGAGAAAGGTCTTTAAAAGGTATCCAAACAAATTAGATTTTGGAATGCACAATAAACAGTAAAAAGCTCATGCCTCAAATCTAGTTTGATTTTTTATTTTATTTGTTTTTAATTCAAGTTAGAAATGAAGTTCACAATAAATTGTAACATTGCATCTCATTTGAAGCTCCTTTAATCTATAGATACACTACAGAAAATGAGAAAAAGAGAATTTTCTTAAATACACTTGGTAGACATGGGTGTAGACTCTTATAGATCATTAACATAAGGATTAGTTTTCACTTCATAAGTGCCAAGTTGGCTTAAAATATTCTAACCTTATAAAAAACTTAGAATTTAATATTTTATCAATCAAACTTATAAAAAAAGAAGTAAAAAGAAAAGCACTCAAAATTACTTCATTTCAATAATGTATCAAGAATGAACACTAAAATAACCTCATTTTCATTTTAAAAATTAAGGTGTTTTTAGTCATTTTCAATGAATATAGAAAAAATTTGAGAAAAAAATAATATTGTTATAATGTCACTTGACATTATAAATTTACAATATGATATATCATTTTATAATTAGCTCTTTTTATTTATGAATTTACCCATAATATTATATATATCTATTTATTTAATATCAAATATAATTATAAATTTGTAACCTTATATAATATTATAAGTATAGAATTGTCGTTTGAGAAAGGTATGCGTCCAAACACTCTGTAATCCGTAGGCTTTTAGTCCACTTCCTAACACACTTAATCCCTCAACTCAGCAAACTGCACAAAATCTTTTCGCATCTCAACATTTCATCACTCCATCACTCCGAACCCCAAATGGCATCGCTTACTACCACCAAATCAATTTCTTGGTCAAGCTCCGCTCGGAGTGCTGCCTCTCGACTTGCCCCTCAAGCCAAATCCAAGGTTGCTCCCTCCGCATTTCGTGCCTCCTCCAGAACTCCTCTCTCCAACTGCACTTTGAGGTCTATATTTGACACTCATCATTTCTGTCGCATACAGGTTGATAAAATTCATAACTTTAGTTTTTTATTTTGCTAAATCATAGTTAAACTGGAATTAATTTCTAATATCATTGTTAGAATATTAGTATTTATTTTAAAATATTATATTCATATTATAATTGATTATATACATTTAAGTTAATTAGTTTTATATTTAGGAATATTCTATTATATAGTTTTAAACCTAGAAATATTCTATTGTATAGCACAGAGTAAGGTTTGGATGAAGCGATCATTTGGAAATGATGGTGTATCCATTTTATAATGTGGAATATGCAGATAATTGAACTCAAACATATGCCTCACATTGCAACCAGTTTCAAGAAATTGTCATGTTTGTGGGTCCTGCACACAACTACCATAAGCAAAAAATGTTACTTCAAGGCCAAGATCACATAATTAACCAACAGATAAAAGATTATTACTAAGTTTTAAAACTAAGAGAGCATTGAGTAAAGTCAATGACTTTGTAGAAATATTGCCAATGTGACCAACATTCATAAGGGAATCATCAGCAAAATAAATATTAGGTAAAGAATTATTTGGTGACATTGAAGAGAAATGAGCAGTTATTGAAGACATGTTACAACAATTAGAATCAAAATACCAAGATTTGGTACTTGGAGCAGTAGATAAGGTACTAGGAGCATTAAAAAGATTTAATATCACCTGTTTTAGGAATTCAAGGTTGACATTAGGTTGGTCTATCATTTCTTTGGCAACCATAGCAGTAGCATGATGAGTTACAGTCCTTTCACAACTTGTCATGAAATCAGTAAAACTCACAATACTAAAAAACTCTGAAAATATGAAAAAATAAATGTCAAGATTGAAATAACAACCCAACAAAATACCTCAGAAACGGCTTGAGAATTGAGAATAAACAATCCAATATGTAGGAAAAAGATCCCAATAACAACGTTTTAGATTTGGAATGGTTTTGAAAATCCAACTCCAAAAACCAAACAGCGATGATAAAAGAAAAGGGTTTAAGTACCATTTTGGTCCCTCAACTTTTCACTTTGGTACCAAAATTGTCCTTCAACTTTAAAATGTACTAAAATTATCCTTAAACTTTCATTTTCGGTACCAAAACAATCCTTCCGTCAGTTAAATGACAGGTATCACGTTAACTTGCCAGTAAATCAATTTTTTTTTTCTTAACTAATGACATGGAAAAAAAAAACACAGTTGGTGTATGAGTTGGCATTTTTATTTAATTTAAAAATAATGATATATTTTTTTTCATCTCTTCTTCCTCTTTCACTTTCTCCTTCCTTTACCTTTCCTTTTCCCTTACCTTTGAGAACCCAGATCTAGGATTTGGATTTCTCTCTCAAACTTCATCTTCTTCCTCCTTTCCTCCTCCCTGCTCATCCTTCTTATTTCTTTTTCTTATTCTTTCTCTCTCTCTCTCTTCTCCATTCTTCTTCCTCTCTCAAACCCTGATCTGGGTTTTTCTCAGTCGAATCAATGCCTTCTACGACGGCATTTAAACCCAAATATTAAAATAAATAAAAGAACAATCACTTTCTAACACGATATAAAAGACCATCAACATTTATCTCTCCAAAACCAATAGGATGCATATATTACCTGCTGAGAAGCATTACTGAGTTGCTGCTCAAGATCATGAACCCATTCTTTCTTCTCCAAAAATTCTTTATCTTCCTCAACCACAGGTGGTTTTGAGCCAGCCCAATCATTAGCAACCGACTGCTTCAACTCCTTAAATAGCCTCAACAAATCCCTCCCACCTCTTGCGGTGCCACCACTACATTGCTCTCTCCCAACAACTGCTTGGGCAGCTTTACTGTGCCATCAAGCATTCGAGAGGCCACATCAGTGCTAGTGGGCAGCGGCATCTTTCCTTGTACCTGCAGAAACACCTTCAATTCATCACTCAGCCTAATTACAGGATGTGCCGCTAGTCTCCTCAAGTATTTCTGCAATGCAACCCTTCTTTGCTCCACAAATTCTTGCTTCTACATCACCTGAGATTTGACCACATTCTTATCTGGTCTTGGTGGGATAAAAAACCCTCTGTAAGCTTCCGCTAACCGATCTGCTAATGTTACGACATCTCTAAACCTCCTCCTCACACTGAATTCTGATCCTCCATAATCCGAAATGTTCGTTCTCGTTGTAATCAAATAAGTGGTGAAAGTATTACTTCCAGGCACAAGCGAATTCGTACTATCATACTCTTTCTGCGGATTAGAGACTGTAATTTTAATATAATCGGAACTGGAAGACGGGGAACGAGAAAACATCAATGACGAATCGAAATTCTGAGAGTTGGTTTCAACGCCGTTGATTTCGCTGACGGAACTCTCGTCAAAGGGGCTGAAGATGACGTCAGCATAAGATGGAGGCTCGATGTAGGAGTTGCTATCGTTGGCGCTAGTGCTGCAGTAAGGTGGGGGCGCAAGGGGGGGATCAGAGTCAGCCGGCGTGACGACGATGGGCGGCAAGAGGGGGTGGTGAGTCGTATCGGAGAGTGGAGAAGTAGCACTGCAGTAATTCGAGTAGGAGTTCCTGTTGATACTGCCACCGTGATCTGATGGGTCATCGAGCACGAGAGTATCCATTTCTTCACGGGATGCGAGGAGTAAAGGAGGAAGAAGGTGAAGTTTGAGAGAGAAACCCAAATCCTAGATTTGGGTTCACAGAGGTAAAGGAAAAGGAAAGGTAAAAGGAGAGAGAAAGTGAAAGAAGAAGAAGAGATGACGTGCATGAAAAAAAAATATTATTTTTAAATCAAATAAAAATGCCAACTCATAGGTCAATTATGTTTCTTTTTTCCATGTCATTAGTTAAGAAAAAAAAAGAATTGATTTGCTGGCAAGTTAACGTGACATTTGTCATTTAACTGACGAAAGAACTGTTTTGGTACTGAAAATGAAAGTTTAAGGATAATTTTAGTACTTTTTAAAGTTGAAGGACAATTTTGGTGCCAAAGTGAAAAGTTGAGGGACCAAAATGGTACTTAAACCTAAGAAAAGAACCAAGAGCTTATAGCTTTGATACCATATTGGAAATAGAAAAGAAGAAGAATAATTTGAAGAAAGGTTTATTACTTTCTTGTTTTCATTGTATATACAAAGGTCCTATATATAGATCTATACAATAAAATATTCCTAGGTATAAACATATGTAATAGAATATTCCTAGGTATAAAACTAATTAACTTAAATGTATATAATCAATTACAATGTGAATATAATATTCTAAAATAAATATTGCTAATCAGCTTGTTGATTTATTTACCAAGGCTTACTTTCCTGGATGCTTCCAAACACTTATTTCCAAACTCAAGTTGGTTTCCTCACCATTACTTTGAGTTTGCAGGGAGATGTTAAAATATTAGTATTTATTTTAGAATATTATATTCATATTGTAATTGATTATATACATTTAAGTTAATTAGTTTTATATAGTTTTATACCTAAGAATATTTTATTGTATAGATCTATATATAAGACCTTTATATACACAATTAAAATAATAAAGTAATACACCTTTCTTCAAATTCTTCTTCTTCTTCTTCCTTTCTGTTTCCAACCATCATATTGTTGATATGAATTCAAATGAATTCAAATAAAGGTTTGTTCTTTTGGGTTTGTTGTAGGTGTCCTGTTTGCTAAGTGTGAGGTTGTGAAGTTGGGAATCGGAGAAAGACTTTCTTATTGATTATATTAAACTGGTAACATTACAAAGTATATATACATGGAACGTAATTAAGTCACTCTAGTAAAAGAAGAAAGAAAATGTATACAATATATTCAAGAGTTATAGTGAAGAAGATTGCCCAGATTCACATAATTACACTAGCAGATTCACTTTCCTTAACACATTCCCACAAGATGGCGGTGCCATAAAAAATGTCGATCTTGGACAACAGATGGGAGAAACGAGATGAAGACAAAGGCTTAGTGAGCCCATCAGCTAGCTGATCTTGTGAGGAAACGTGAGAAACATGAAAAATACATTTGTCAACTAAATCGTGAATGAAATGGAGATCAATGGTGATATGCTTCATTCAAGAGTGTAGAACGGATTAAGGCTAAGATAAGTTGCACCAACATTATCACAGCTGATCTTGCACTCTCTTTCTCTCCATGCCTACTCCAGAGCGTAAGGGAGAGGTATTGGAGAGATCCAATAAGTTGCTAGTAGTAAGAACCATTAGAGAGGGCATTCCTAGAAGTAAGGTGTAGATTCTAATGAAGCATAAGAGGAGTGGAGAATTAAGTTATCTTGTGACTGGTTTAAATTATAAAATTTTAAAACCAATATAATTGGTTTAGTTTGTGGTTTGATCTTCAAACCGCTCGAACTGTCCAATTACAAAATAAAATCCGACTACAAGATAACTTAATTAAATAATATAATATAATTTTTTGTAGTATTTTAAATTTTTTTTTATTTTATAAGACAATAACTTCATTAATTTAATTAAAAATTAAAAATAAAATATCTCCATATTCCTTAAGTTATTTTTCCATTTTAATCATGCACCCTAACCCTAATTCTAGATTTCTAATTCACCTGTAACTCTATCCCTTGAAAATTGGTTTGCGCCTTTAGTATTAGAATCCTGAATTTCTAATTTGTTCCTAAAATAATATTATGATTTTCCTAACTAAGTTTTAAAAAAGTATTATTTTAAAAGTCTTAAAACAATATAATAAATCTAGTCTTGATATTCTACTATTATTGGATATTTGGTTTAGAAGTTTTAAATTTTGATTATGAATGCTTCTAATCAATTTTAGTGATATTTATGTTAAATTTTATTTACCTTTAACAAGATTTAGAAGATGTGATTAAATTATTAGTGCATTAAAGAAAAAAACTAATTTTAACCTTTAAGAATTATATACGCTGTGCTAAAAATTTGAAGTCATCTTTTATTGTTCTTGGTGCCTCTAGTGATGTAATCAAGAAGAATTTTCAGAGCTTTTCAATTTTTATAAATGTAAAGAAGTATAAAAACTTATTTATAACTTATACCTTTTATTATGTTTTTACTAATTTGGATGTTAATGTATTTTATAGTTATGTTTTTTATTTGATGTTAAAATATTTTTACATTATCTCATATATTTAATAATGATAAAAACTTATCAATCCGACTGAACCACACCGATCCGATTTAAGTTGGATTGGTTTGGTTATCATATAATAGTGGATTGGATTGGTTTAAAATTTTTATTTGCCGATTAAATTGGATTGGCTTAAAAAATATTAAAATCTGAATCAAACCACACCGCGAACACCTCTAGCAAAAACTACAGTTATGGAATAAACTAAAGCAAATGATTGTGCAAGAAGGGGGTTGTCGGTTGGTTATGGGTGATTTTGATGCTGTTAGGAGTCTTGAAGAAAAAAGGAGAAGGATAGGGGAGAAAGTCGAGATGGGAGAATTTAATGATTTTATCGAGACAACGAGTTTGGTTGATGTTCGATTGGTGAACCGGTGTTTTACATGGTACAAACCAGATGGGACATCCATGAGTAGATTGGATAGATTTTTGATGTCTACGGAGATGTGTAGCATGAGTGGGGAGTGGGTACAACAAGGGTTGAAACGAACCATATCAGATCATTGCCCTATTATCTTGAAATCTCGGATAGTAGATCGGGGTCCCAAGCCATTTAGAGTTTTGGATGATTGGCAATAGCACCCAAATTTTAAGAAGGCAATTGAGGAAAAATGAGAAAGCTTGAAGGTGGAAGGTTTTTTAGGTTTTAAATGTAAATAGAAGCTAAAATTACTTAAAGGGTTTTTAAAAGGCTAGAATAAAGATGTGTTTGGGGATATGGAAACGCAGTTTGCAAAAGCTATGAAGAAAGTTGAGGATGTTGATTTAAAGAATGAAGAGTATGTATTAGAGGGATTTGAACCCAATTTTATATTGGTTTGGATCGGTTTTTGATTGGATTGGACCAGTTTAGATCAGATCAATTGGATTGGATCGGATATGAACACCCCTAGTTTTTGCTGTCTGTCTTGAGGAGCATACACATTTATTAAGTGGCACTTCATTTTCTTCAATCCCCGTTCTCCTGTTACACCCAAAAATCCATCACCCTAAAATTGTCCCGCTTTTACAAACTACAACTTATTCCAAACACACAGCAATCCTCCAGATGCCTTTCTCGAATCCTTCATCACCCAATCAAACTCATTCAAACTCCACAACAATCGACATAAACCACTATCCATCCCTTCTAACTTAGTCTCCTACAAAAATATAAAATCCAATTTGTGTTCCCTTACCAATCTACCCACCTCATTCTTCAATAACCCCTCTAAACCTCTCACATTAAAGGACAAAAATTTCATCAAAAAATAAACTCGCAACCCAAATCACTTTCCCCCTACTTGTAAACCCCTTTCAAATCACCTCCCATGCACCTCAATCTGTCCCTCGACCTCCAACAACCTCGATTCAACCTTCTTGTTATCTTGGAAGTTAATCCCTAACCTCGTCCCCATACTAATCATCCTCCTAACCTCAAATAAACTCAAATCCCTTTTAGTTATCTTATTGCGATGCTCAATACACCCATCTGAAAGTGAGAGACTACCGACCCACTTTGATTTTTCCTCTATAGTTTGCTGGGCCTTCTTTGTATGTCTTTGGCGCTGCTTTGTTTGCCCTGTTACCCATTGTGTCTTCTCTGCCGACATTTTCACCAAGCTCTGTGGGTAGCACCCTTCTAAATTCCTCCACCTCTTGCTCTGCACTCCCTTGATACCCATTTCTCGATCAAAATAATTCTCCTCTACATTAATACCGTTGGCCTCATTCCCCTTATTACCGCTAACCCAATCATGCAGCCCATTGATTTCCAACCCACCATTAACCCCAAGCTCATCAGACTTATTAGGCCTGACTACACCTAAATTATTAGGCCCAATATCCTCCCCCATTACAGCACCCCTCTGGCAATCCATTTCATAATCATCATCACCATCTATAACCTGTGGATTCAAATTTTGTGCATTTGTTGACAATGCCTCATCAATTTGTTGACTTCCTCACCACTAATCTTTGTATTAATCAATGACAAATCTTCATCTCGATTCTATGATGAGGAATTTTTCAATTCAATCTCTGGTGGATTGCTCCAATCATCGTTCGACAACCACCAATCTAGATCTAATCTCCATTCTTCCTCTGTCACTGTAATCTCATACAGCTTCTCTTCCACTTTCAGCAACATAGTCTTGGATATTTGACCTGCTTAAGAACAAAGAATCATAACTCTTCCATCGCACAAGATTGATTTCTTCTTCGTATCCTCATGAATTACTAACACATCCCCTATTGAAGCTGTAATTTTTCTCAAAACAACCATTGCACCAAGCCTTCAACGGAACTCCATATATCCTTAACCATGCTAATCTACCATTTTGTTGAGGTGCCGCTTCCCATGGAAGGATGGACTCAAACCATGTATCAAACAACTCTTTGTTTTCTTTCATATACTGATCCAAATAACTTGCAGTTCTTTCCTGTAATAGCACCCTTTTGCCTATTAATGGTGATAAAATTATTAGCCTTCCATCCACATCCATTCTTGCTTGAATACTATAACCAACTCTAACGATCTTACCATAGCAACCTTACTCCCCTCAAGCCACTGACACTCTTCTTTCTTTCGGAGAAAACTCAATAATTTCCTCCCCTTGTTGATCCTTTTCCATAACTTCTTGTTTAGCACAAGAACCAACCTCTTCATTAACTACCTGATTCAACCTAAGTTGCTGCATCTTCTTCCCATGATCATTTGCTTTACCCTGCTATCCACCTATTGAAACCCCTTTAACAATGGATAAGTCCCTGCAACAACTTGTGCATACGACTTATCTAGCTAAACAAATCTGTGCATTCTGTTATCCATTTTCTTCCCGACCTCTGTACTTGATTTCCTTTGATATCCAGAAACCCCCTGCACTCTATCTTCAGCAACCTTTACTCTCAACTTATACAAACTGATCCAAAGCTGATTTAGATGCTTTTCTATTTGCAACACATCCTGCACTCCCATCAGATGAACAAAACCAATCTCTTCCCCCATTTATCCCTTTTCCCCGGCACATAGACATCAACTACTCTCCCATACCTCTGGAAACACCGCCATAAATCTACTTCTTGAGACTTCTCATGAAAATTATAGAAAAAGAATGTCTTCATCTACCCTGAAAAATGATGCCCAGATCCTACAAACCGTCGTTGGTGTCCTTGCCATTGCTAGTGCCCTTGCCTTTGTCTGGAAGAGTCGTCTCCCCTGGTAGCTGTGCCACTCCCTCGAACCCTAGTACTCTCCATTTTTCTTCTTTGCAAATTGATTTGTAACTTCCTTTTTGTGGGAATCAACTGCATCTGTATATGTTCCTTTCATTTCTCAACACCTAGATCGATTCCCATTACCATCCCCTTATTTTAATCAAACACCACATTTTCCAAAAATAAAAAATAAAACCCTTCATTTTTGGTTTTACTAACAAGTGAGATTTTGAATCAATATGCATAGATATTCACATTATGTTTTTTGTAAACATATATATATAATGATGAAGATTCACTTACACATAAAATTTACATATCATACATATACAAAATCTCAATTATTTATCTTTTAACTTTCAATAGTTGAAATTTATTATAATTTTTTAGATAAAAATAATTATCTTTAATAAATATGAATAAATTTCAACTATTAAAAGTGAGGGGATAAATAATTAAAATTTTGTATAAATGTAGCATGTAAAACTTAGTGTGTAAGTGAATTTTTATTTATAAAGAATTGCCCTTTCATGACTTTGAGAATTAAACCTCAATTAACCGGGATGAAGAAGGGGACCAGGTCCTTAGGTTACCGGCCGTGTGTAAGAGATTAATAAACGAACAAAACAACCTTAAATTTAAGGTTTTAGACGTTAAATTTGTCTTGGAAAACAACAAATCTAATGCGATTTTGTTCTTCTCCTAATGTTTTGCTATTGTTCCCAGGTTAGTATGGCTACTATCATCTAAATAATGCTGGAGGATATAAAATGGGCAGTTAGAGAACCATTTTTGAGGCCAGGGATAGTCCTCAGATTTCACTTCATTCAAAATTTTTAGTAATTAATAAAACTCTGTATGTATTGTGTGCTGGTGATTTTGCTTGTGTGTGTCTTGATATTATATTTTTCCATTGTAATTCTGCGAAAATGTTAGGATTGGAGTGTCCCGTATTGTGTGAACGAGTGGCTCTTCTATACTCCCAATAAATTTTGATTTATATAGACAAAAAAAAAAAGTAACTCTGTAATTTTTATTTGTGCCATGCTCATGAATCTCTCCTTTGATAATTTATCTTAATTCCCAATAGCCATATTCCAGATTCATATATAATAGAACAAAATAAAATAACATACTTCTCAGCTGCTGGATTTCCGAAGCTGAGGTCCTTCCCTTGTTTCATTCTGTATCCTTTTTCAAACTTCTTCATACGTACTAGCGTTAAAGAAAATTTAACTTAAAAATAAAATAAAATAAAATAAAAAAACAACTAACGTGCGACTTTCTTACTTAATTCGACATCTTACAAGTCTGTTAGTAGTATAACTTACATTATATTTCAGTGAAGGAGAATCAGTGAAGGATCCAAGATTTGAGATGAGGGGCTCAAATTTGTTAACACACTTAAATTAAACTTGTGTTTGAAATATTACTTTTTCAGTTTGTTTTTATTATATTAATTTGACTTTTATATAAAGTTTAACTTGATGATTTTATATAACAAATAGATAGTAATTGAAAATTTGTGAGGGGCTCCAATCCGTCATTCCTGGTTCTGATTCCAAAAAAGGAGAACCCCCAAGGAATCGAGGAGTACAGACCTATCTCCCTGATAGGCTGTATGTACAAAATTCTTGCTAAAATCTTAGCCAACAGATTGAGTAAGGTCATGGACGGACTCATAGGTGACCAACAATCAGCATTCATTGGAGGGAGACAACTAGTTGACGGAGCAGTCATTGCTAATGAAACAATTGACGAGATTAGAAGGAAAAGAATGAGATGCTTCCTTTTTAAGGCTGATTTTGAGAAGGCATATGACAATATCAGCTGGGAGTTTTTGGATTACATGCTGGAAAGAATGAATTTCGGGCCAATTTGGAGGGGATGGATCCAAGAATGCCTTCGATCAAACTCGGTATCAATTTTGCTCAACGGTAGTCCAACAAAGGAGTTCGTTATGCAAAGAGGACTAAGACAAGGTGATCCCTTAGCTCCGTTTCTGTTTCTTATTGTTGCGGAAGGGCTCAATGGCATCATCTCGTTGGCTGTCGCGAAAGGATTATTCGAAGGGGTACCAATCGGAGGAGGGAGTATTAATATATCCCACTTACAGTTTGCAGACGACACCTTGCTACTAGGAATAGCAACAGAAGATAACGTCTGGACCACAAAATGCATAATGAGAGCCTTCGAACTTGTCTCCGATTTGAAAATAAATTACGGGAAAAGCTCCTTTATTGGAATCAATGTTGATAATGTATGGGAAAAGGAAATGACTTGCCTATTGAATTGCAAATTAGGGTCATTGCCGTGTAAGTATCTGGGTATCCCTTTGGGAGCAGATCCGAGAAGGATTGCTACATGGAAGCCACTTATTGAATCTTTTAAAAGAAAACTCTCATCATGGAAGGGGCGATACCTATCTTTTGGAGGACGAATCACCCTCATAAACTCAGTGCTATCCAGTTTACCAGTGTTCCTAATGTCCTTTTTCCTCATACCAAAGAGTGTCATAAAGGAGGTAGACAAAATTAGGAGACAATTCCTATGGGGGGGAGATGGGGAGAGGAAAAAAGTAGCATGGGTAGCATGGGAGAACACCTGCCTCAACAAGCTGGAAGGGGGTTTGGGCATTAAAAATCTGTCATGCTTCAATAAGTCATTATTAGGAAAATAGTGGGGAAGATTGCTTATGGAGAAAGGGGGGCTGTGGAAGAGAGTCTTAGCTGAAAAATATGGGATCAAGGAAGGGTATTGGCTCACTTGTTTAAAGGAAGGCAGTCCGCAAGGCTCCAAATGGTGGAGGGACGTTTGCAAAATAGATCAGGGGGAGGGCACAATGAATAACTGGGTGAGTTTGGGTTTTGAAGCAAAATTGGGGGACGGTGGAACCTTGAAATTCTGGTCGGATGTATGGGTAGGAAGGAGTGCACTCTCTATCAAATTCCCTCGTTTATTTTTGTTAACCACAGACCAAAATGCAACTGTTAAAGATATGGGATCCTGGAGGAACAGCAGCTGGTACTGGGAATTACCATGGAAGCGCCAACTTCGCTCATGGGAGGAGGATCTAGAAAAAGAGCTTCTCGAGATAATTAATACTGCTCACCCCTCACAGAACAAAGAAGACCAGTGGAGATGGCTTCTAGAAACCTCAAGAAATTACACAACTAAGTTTGCTTATTCTCATCTATCAAAGGGCGTTTCAAGGCACGCAGGGGACTTCAAAAGGGTATGGAAAGCACCCATTCCACCTAAAGTAAGTGCATTTTGTTGGCAATTACTTCATAGGAAATTACCCACAAAAGATAATCTAACATCTTGCGGAATTTTAATTGATATAGCAAGTTTAAATTGTTGCTGGTGTGATACATGTCCCGAGTCCCCTGACCACATATTTTTACATTGTAACCTAGCTTACTCCTTGTGGATGAAATGTTACAAGTGGTGGGGAGTACAATATGTTATGAGTAATTCGTGTAGAATGGTTTTAGACCAACATAAATGGACTGGGGGCAATAAACTAATAGATAGAGGGTGGAACATCATTTGGTTTGCAGTGGTATGGACTCTATGGCTGGGAAAGAACGACTGGATTTTCAACAAAAAGGAGGTAAAGGCCGACTGTGTCTTTGAGCTAGTTCAAATTCGATCTTTCTACTGGGCTAAGAATATAGCAGGACTGGACGGATTCTCCTTGCAAGCTTGGTGCGAGAACCCATCCAATTGTTTAAAGACCACCAACAAATGGAAAGACAGGGTTTGAACTAGTCTTTTTTTGGATTTTGTTATGTCTTTGCATTGATATAGCAGGTGGCAGGATAATTTTTGCAACCTGCTATTTTGCTACTTCTGTAAGTAATGGGTTGGAATACCCCTAGTATTCCAATATTAATATTTCATTCGCCTTTCAAAAAAAAAAAAGTAATTGAAAATTTGTTTCTACTTAACATAGAGCTTGTTGAATATTTCACTTCAATAAAAAAATTTAATTGTCATTAATTTTTATATAAAATCATTAAGTTAATTAATATAAAGTTGACAAAGTATGACAACTAAAATGGACCAAATAGAGTAAGACATAGTTGTAAACTTGTGTCCAAAATGAAATCTAGTTATGCTCAATGTGAAACATATTGTCCTCTGAAATTTTTAGTAATTAGTAAATTTTTTTGCAATGAGGCAGTGGAGGAAATAGATCATTTATTTTGTACATGTAACGAAGTATGGTTAATATGGGCAAAGGTGATACATTGGTGGGGGGTGGAATCTGTGTTACCAAATTCAATGGAAGCTATAGCTGAATTTTTCTGGTCTAGTTTTGGTAGGTTGGTTGGGAAGGAGATGGGTGCTTGTATGTTTCTAATTGTTTCTTGGTATTTGTGGTATTGGAGAAATGCTGTTGTGTTTCAAAATAATGAGAGCTTTAAGGAGAAATTGCTGGATATGGTTAAAATCAAGTCCTTCTCTTGGATTAAATCTAAGAATACTGGTTCCATGTTCTCTTTTTATGAATGGACGGTTGACCCAGTTGCATGTGCATTGGCGGTGAGGAGGCATAAAAAGGAACTAAAGATGTATTTGAAGCTGAAACAGGGACATATATGATCGGCAGTGGGGGCTTGATTGGTTTTGGCTGATGTGTTTTTATAATAAATGTTGTCATTTTTGCTGGGTTTATATTATGATGGTTTAGCCTTTTATTTTGTAAATAGGTTGGAGTACCCCTTTACTCCTAGTAATAAATTATTTCAATTTGCTGATAAAAAAAATAAATAAATAATTATTTAGCTATATTTGTGGGAAAAAAATATATAATAAAACACATCTTAAGAAAATGTAATAAATTTAAAAACATATCAAATATTTATATAGGAATTGACAAAATAAAATAAATATATTTGATTGAATGAAAAATTATGAGTTAAAGGTGAAATTTTAATATTTGACTTAAAATATATATATTAGTAACTAAAATGAATATATAGGACTAATTTTACGTACTCCAAAGGTGATGATCTAAGGTTTTCCTAGAAAAAGGGAAAAAATGTTAAAAGTTTAAAGATTTCTTACCAAAATTTTGACAAAAAAATATAATAGATTAAAAGGTAATTTTTATATTTAATAAATTAGTCATAAAGAATCACTAATTTTTATGTTAACATTTTGTTTTGAATTTAATAATAAGATTTACAAAAAAAAAAAAATAATGATAACTGTTTTCTTAAATATTAAGAATATTTAAGTTAAGAAAATAAAATTTAAAGATAAAATTTCCAAAATACAAAATTTGAAGACTAGTTTAAAAATTTTTCAAAAGACGAGGGGGGGCCATAGCCCCTTGTCTGTACATGGTTAGCCACTGAGAAGAATGGAGGGAAGAAGAATGAAAGAATGCAACATGCTTTCACTCCTCTCCTCTCTCTCCCCTCCCTCCCCTCACATTCCCTCATTTAGATCAGTAATTGAATTTAAAAAAAAAAAAAAAACGAAGGGCTTTGTTTTCCGTCCTTCTTCTTTGAATCTTTTTTATAACTAAATAAAAGATTTTTTTCTCTCTTCTTTCATTTCTCTTAATCTAAATATATTATTAACAAATAATTTTTTTAATAGTTTTAAAATAATATTACTATTTAAATTTTTAACATAACTAATACTATATATATATATGTAAATTATCTCGTTTACATTGATAGTCAAATAAAATTTTGCTTTAAAAAGTATCAAGTATAAATTATTAATATTATTTACACCTAAATAATATAATGATAATAAAACTCGAACCTATATTAAGCATTCAGATAACTTTTGCTTAAACTTGAAACTGGAATCTATTTGGTTTAGCTACTTACAGTTAATCGTTAATCTAACAAATAATAATATTTGGAGCTAAAACGAAGGGAGCCCATTTTAGACGGCGAATCTAGTGCACAATTCTAAATAGAGTACAATGGTACAGACAACAGGATACAGAGGAAGGGATATGAAACATCCCCTAGCCTTTTTTTTGGCTACTTCCCATGTTATTCGAGAATTTTTTTCAGATTTAATTTCACAGGAAGTAGCCAAAAAGAGACAGGTAAATCCTTTAAGGGAAAATTTTTTTAAATAATCCCCTCTCTTTCTTTTCTTTTAATCCTATATATATTAGCCAAAATTTTTTTAAAAAAAAAGAGTAAATTATGTAGACTAAGGACTATTAATAATCGGACTTTTTTTAAAATTTAAATTGCCTAAGGGTCTTTCGGGATTCCAGCTTGCTGTGGCTTCTCAGCCGAGGCATTTTTACTGTCATCCACCGCGGCAACCGCGGCGGCTGTTCCGGTAACCGTCTTGGCTCTTTCTGCCTCGAAATTCCAATCTGTTCTAGCCAAAACCACCATCATGGTCACCGCACATGACATCTGTGCAGCCAGAAGACCCATCCAGAGACCCTGGAAATCAAACCCTGCAAAAAATGCTAATCCCACCGCCACCGGGGTGCCCACCAGGTAAAAACACCCTAGGTTTATGTTTGCCCCGACTTTCGGCCTCGCTGTGCCTCTTAGCACGCTGCATCCAGTTGTTTGCGGGCAATTTCCGAGCTCGCAGAGCCCAATTATAGGCAGAACCGTTGATGTCAATTTGACAATCACTTCATCTTGAGTAAACACGGTTGCCCATTTGTGCCTAACCGTAATTGCGAATACCAGCGCCGAGCAGCCAAGAAGGATGGCACTGGAAAGGCCAACGAAGGCTGCGCGCCTAGCCCATCGTGGTTGCTCTGCTCCTAGTTCGTTTTCGACTCTGGTTGACACACTGAAGCTAAGAGATGATGGGAAAATGTAAATTAGCGATGTGGTTTGAATCAGAATCCCCATTGAAGCAACGGTGGCTCTTGGGTTAATCAACAATCCGCAGAGCAAGATCATGATCTCGTACCACCACAATTCAAGGCAAACGGAAATGCAGCTGGGAATTGCCATATTGAGCAGAGACTTCCATTCTTTGAAGCATTCCATCGAGAAACCTCCCCACGTCTTTTCATGGGCGCGGAAGATGAGGATATAAAGGACTATCAGGGCTACTTGATTGAAGTTTGTCAACACGTCACTGAGGGCAACTCCTTTGACCCCCAATTCAAAGTGTGAGACTAGGAAGTAATTAATGGGCATGTGACAAAGGATGGAAAAAATTTCACAGAAGGTTGGAGGCAGAGTTATGGATTGAGTTCGGAGATAGATTCTCAATGGGTTCAGAAGAGATTGGGCTAAGAGGTCAGGGAGAGAGTAAAGAAGGTGTAATTGTGCTTCTGCTGCAATACTTTCATCTTGCCCGCAGAGGAGTAGGATTCTTTTCGCATTTAGCCAAAGAAGAGAAATGGGAATTGAGGTAAAAATGAGAAGAAGTACTGTTCTTTGCAAGGTGAGGCCAAGAAGTTTGTAACTCTTGCCCCAAAAGCTTGACCACAGATGGATTTCATTCCCATGGCAAGCCCCGAGGGAATGGAGTAACCAGTGATGTTAGCAAATCCGATAGCTAGTGAACCACCAGCTAAGGCCAGCTCCCCTTGACGGCCGAGAAAGATCATGGATACCAATGGGCCGAGGTAGAGCATGAGGCCTGTTAGTATCATGGGAAATGCTATTTTAGCAATGGATATTGCTTCCTTGACTATAGGACTCACCTCAGCATTTTCGGGCTCAATTTCTGTGGGCTTCGTTATCAATGGCGTGTCTGTGTTGGGATTTTCAGGGTCGTCTTTGTTCGGCAGACGGTTTGAGTGAGGTGGATTGCAATTGCAGGGATAAGAGGAGGATGCCAGTTGAGACATTTTTTAATAAAAAATTAGTAGGAACTAATGTTGAACGGGGAGCAAGGGAGGGGATTGAGAAGCGCAGAAGGTTGAGGGGGAGTTTAGGAAAGAAACATCCTACGGTATTTATAGAAGTGAGGAATTTTTATAACACCAACTTGGCCTTGAATTTTTGTAACAAATTTTTATTTGTGATGTATATAAACGTAGTAATATAATGGACACTGTATGACATATTAGAAGGTGAGAACCCATGTCATTAACTATAAGATTCGAAATTTAGTACTTCTATTTTTGTTCTTTCCATTATCGCATTCCATGCTCTGATTTTCCATTCACACGGTTTTTACGAGATAGAAAGGACAAAACATTTTGCACTAAATTAATTATAGGGGAGTCAAAGGTGGTGTTGTGGCGTTTATTGGGACCACTATAGGAACAGCAGCAGAAAGTGTACTTTACTTTGGGAAGCAACAAAATGGGTGTTGGTCTTTTGGTTAATGGGCTCTTTGTTTCAAAATAGTTTACTTAATAAATGGTTATCTAATAACAGAATGTTTTTTAGTTATTGACAAGTTGCTCCTTAAATTTTTGAAAAATATTAAATATAACACATACATTTTTATTTTTTACAATATTTTGTATTTTAAGTTCAAATTTTTTTGTCAAATATAATAATTAATTAAGATAAAAT